GGAGAAAGATGCTATTTCAGGGGCCTCACTGCCGACCTACAGAATCATAACTTTTTAGAGTGGGACCTGGATCCCCAACGGTTCTGTATGCACATTAAAGCTGTAGAAAAATGCTTAGCTAGATGGTCCCCTTCTATTAGACCATTTGATGGATTGTAAGAAGTAACATTACTGTGCCCTCCCCCACAGAGCTGAACAACTGCTCTGGGTTGTTGGTTTAGTGTGGTGCTCCAGGTGATTCAAAAGGGAGGCTAGCATTTGTGAGAGTTGAGTGCTGGCTTTGGTCCAGGGGAGGTAACAGGGTTCTTTTTTGAGTTGGGAGGAACAAAAGTACAGCCCACATTCTCATTGCTGGGTTGGAAATTGTGCATGTCTGTGGGATGGGAGAGCACAGGAATATAAGAGAGAAAAACTTACACTTTGGTCTTAATGTAGGATCTCACTTTTTCTTAATCTCTCCTGTGACAAAGGGCAGGGGAGTGTGACATTTTTCAGCATTTCAAGTCCTTCTGCCTGTGAGTGTGGTGGAAGCACAGCATATGCTCAAGATGCAGGTGTGATTGGTCAACATAAAGTCGCCTGAGAAAACAACCCAGAGCAGGAGGAGGAAGAGGACAATATGGCTGCTTCTCAGGTAAACGCTCTGTCTTGGGTCAGTTCTGTGTCTGCTTTTCCTTCTCAAGTTCCTGGATGTAGGTGGTGCAGACCTTTGCTTCTCTATTTCTGATGATCCTGCAACAGGAATTTGTTTTCAACTGCTTACTTTTTTTTCTTGTGATTATCCAAGTTCCCTCTTTAAAATGTGACTGTCGCTTGGGGTTTTTTGGGTTCCCCAAGTTAGAAATCAAGAGGAACCTCCAGAGAAATTTCCTGGGAAATTTTCTTAGGCTTATGCTTGATCATAAGGGAGACAACATAGAAGAAAGGAAGGTCCTCTGAGCTGCTGAGGGTCAGGCGCAGCTTGGCGGCTCTATCCAGATTTGGACACATAGGAGGGTGGTTTGAAAAAGGCCTGCTGGTCGAGATTTCCTTCAGGGTGCAGTTACTTCCTTTTCCAACGGGGTTGTCTGATTGTTAGTGCCTGTGCTGTGGGGGAAAGATGGCAGCGTAGTTCACTACAGCCACCCCAGGAAGTTCCTGTAGCAGTCAAGCCTTCATCAACTGCTCATGTGGGTCAGCAGTTTCAACATCTGCAAGGAAGCAGGCCTTTAGGAGGCAGATACAGTCAGCTACCTCTGCGTTTTTGTCCACAGCTTTCTGTCTGTTGTGTCCATCCAGGTCCCCTATACGAAATGAAGAACTCTCACCATAAATTAATGGCCATTGTGTGGGAGGAAGATACTTTCTTCTACTTTCAAGGTTCTCTCAGCTGGCCTAATCAGATAGATGTGATATGTATGGGAGCTCCACACACATGACAGTGTTAGAGACCCCACATGCAAGAGAGGCTCAGAGATTGAAAGGGAAAATTGGTATTTGAGACATTCTGAACCTGGGATGAGCTACTGCACCTTGGGACTTCAGAATATCGTTGCCAAGAGATCACATGTTCAGGAAATACTAGTTTGCCTACCACCTAGATGAAGCATGTCAAACTCAAAGGCTAACACGTGCAAAATAAACAAGGTTTAAGTTTATGTGGGCCGGAAAAACCACCAAAAGCTTCAAATGTCATAGAAGTGTAGGTTTATTAAGATAGAGACATGCTGAATACAAAGGGCTGAAATAAATGAGTAATTGTTAATGAGAATTTGTTGTGGGCCACATGTGTCCCGTGACCAGCAAGTTTGGCACGGTTAACCTAGGTAGTTCAAATGTCATATTTGGTTTAACACAGATCATGGGCCAAGCTCATCATTTAAATTCTTCCAGGTAGTTCAGGGGGAGAGCAGACGGTTCTCTAGGTCTTGGTGCCTTCAGTTCAACATAATGCATGTTCTGTTGAAGCACATCTTAGGGTGCCTTGTTCTGAAACCCCACCTTCAACTCTTCAGAACATTTTCTTTGTGACAGATCAACAAGGGAAGGCATTGATAGCCAAGATCCCTATTGAGATGGTGTTTGCAGAAGACACATGCAGGTTTTAGATTTCGTATGGCTGCAGCATCTCCTCTGCAGGACAGGATGGAGACAAAGCACCTTTAACAGGATGGCCTTAGTGGCTGGGATTAGATCAGAATGTGCTGAAAAAGAAAACTCGTTAGCAGAGACTTGCTCTCTACATTGGCATGGAAGCCTTACTCTTTAAATGTACTGTGAGATTTACAGAATGTGGAGGTATATGTGGAATGAATTTTGTATAAAATTGGTCTTAGTGATGATGTGTTCTGTGTCCTTCAGTCACCTGATGTCACTTCCTTTGCACCTGATTTTCACTTGGTGTGGGTGTTCTCTGCCTAGTTCCTGACCATAGAGTTAATTTTAAAAAATCTTTAATAAGGGTTTCAAAGAAAATTTGTGAGATGTGCGTAAACGATCACATTTCATCTGGAAACTTCCATTGCTTTTCAGTTTTTCTTTATGTTCAGGTTGCTTTGAGAAATAAAGGCTCCTTGTTGTTCACTGGAGATCCTAGATTTGCAAGTGGAGGGTTTTATCAGGCAGGCCTCAGACCTGTACATTTTGTTGTATTCCACTGACATGTCACAGACACACTCTTCTTTATCACTACTTTGTATTTTCAAAAATGTTTACTGGCATTATAGTAATGGATATTCAAGTGTGTTAAATTTATAAAATACAGATCAGCACCAAAGATAACATGTCGAACAATAGGCTAAGAACCAATAGCGCCAATATTTTATATTATGGTGTGTTTACCTCCCTTTTGTGTTTCTCAAGTACTAAGATGATCATTCACAAAGGGATTTGTGAGATTAACACATTGACATTAATGTTTATTTTATTTCAGGGTAATTTTATTGACATGAAAATATTTTTTTATGTCGTATTTTTTTGTGTACAGAGTTTCCATTTCTATGTCTGCCTTTTTGCAAAAAAAAAAATGTTATTATTTGAGCTTTTTTTTCTTACATTCTTGTTTCTATTCTTTTAAAAAAAAAAAAATTTTTATTGGTTTCAGAGAGGAAGGGAGAGGGAGAGAGAGATAGAAACACCAATGATGAGAGCGAATCGTTGATCGGCTGCCTCCTGCACGCTCCCTACTGGGGATCAAGCCTGCAACTTGGGTGTGTGCCCTTGACCAGAATCGAACCTGGGACCCTTTAGTCCATAGGCCGACACTCTATCCACTGAGCAAAACCAGCCATGGCATTGTTTTGGTTCTTTACAATTATAACAGCTGTGAACACTCATGAGGGTTGAGTCTATGTATTGATCTGTATTCTTTTTGACAGATTCCAGATAAAGTTTGGAATAACACCCAGGCTCTACCATTTTCTGGATGTTTTACAAAATATTCTCATAAAAAAGGATGAATAGCCCTGGCTCAGTTGGTTGAGCGTTGACCCATGCACTGAGAACTCACTGATTGAATTCCCAGTTATGGCACATGCCGTGTTGAGGACTCAATCCTTGGTAGGAGGCGTGCAAGGAGTTAGCTTATTGATGTTTGTCTCTCGCCAACATTTCTGTCTGTCTCTCTCCTTCCCCCTTTCTCTCTTTCTAAAGTCAACAAATACATTTAAAAAAAAGGGAACAAAAAATGGACACATATGTAATACCTTTGTAATAAAAAATAAAAAAAAATAAAAAAAGGGAACAATAATGTTTTTCTTTGATTACTTTTGAGATTTATCAGTTAATATATAAAAAACTGTTAAAACAGTTGTGGTTGCTAGGCTTACTAATCTGTGAGAC